GTACGTAACAAGTAAACGTAAAGGTAACGGTACGTACGAAGTAGTAAAGTAAGTAAATAAGTATAGTTAGTTTAAGTTAAGTTAACGTAATAGTATACAACACACACACACACACACACACACACACACACACACACACACACACACACACACACACACACACACACACACACACACACACACACACACACACACACACACACACACACACACATGGATACAAACTATAGAGAGGAAATAATAAGATATAGTATTGTAACAAAGGTATCTGCAGTAATGATAAATAGCATAAATTTTAAGTTATATTAGACAAGCTAAATACAGTATCATCCACATAGGTTAGAAAAATAAAACCAATGAATACCAGCTAAAAACAGGTAACTGTGTAATCATCTTTTGACAAATGTATTTACAGAAGTAAAATACACAAATGGATTGTCATATGACATTTAAGAGATTCAGCTTAAAATATTACGTTACACTTGGCTATGAGAATGTATGGTTTGCTTAGAAAAGAGAAGTAGTGTGTAAGTTATTATCTTCATCTTTTTATTACAGAGACCAAGTCCTACAATGGCAGCCTTCACTCCAACCTCAGTGATGAGAAAAATGCAAACTGAAAAGAATGAAAAGGGAAGAGGTAAATGGGATAATAATACAAAGTATTCAAGTGTTTTAAACTTAGTTTCAGCTATCAAAGGAAGTTACCACTTTACTTGAAACTTAATGCTTTTATTTTGCTTTTGTGGATAATCTCAAACAGCAGAGCCCCAGGAGATTTTAGTTGCATCATAGAAAATCTTTATAAAACCATTCTGAAAAGCCTTCCTCACTGTATAAAGATTAATCTCATAACCAGCAGTGTCCACAAGAATTATTGCAGAGAAACTCTGTGATATTGCAAACCATCTGCTTTAGGTGTAAAAGAAATTAGCACACTATTGAAAAGAGCTTGCTTTCATTGACGTTATGTTCTTAATTGCTAGCAGATAATTTTGCTAGACAGATGTTGTGCTAAGACTCCATACACTGAGAGAACTGACAGGTCAATAAACACATTTTTATTTTTTGACAATTATTCTGAAAGCTTGTATTAATCAGGTTGAACTTGTTATATTAACTCTCACTATGGGCTTGGTCCCAGGTATTGACCTTGCAACCATTTTGTGCTTGTTGTAGTTTTCAAACTATAAGTTTTAATACAGCTAACATATCTTCACAAAATTTTGCAATCACCTGTAAATATTATGATGCTTTAGTACACAAAATATCAGATTTTTTAAAATTAATTTTTAAGATTTTTTAAGTAATGATTTGCTCATGCATTTTTTCTTCTTGAATGTTGACTATCCAACATGCAAAGTAATTTTGATTTCAAGATTAAAAATTCTTTTATGCATCAGAAAATTATCAATTTTCTCATGCGAAATCTTTATAACCTTTTTTTAATTATCAAAGGTTTTTTTTTTTAGAAAACTTTATTTTGTTATTTTCACTATTGTATCTCTGTATGATTTTGGTTGATTTCACCAACCACGTAACCAACATAAAAAAATTAGGAAATAGATGTAAACTATGCTTTTTTTTTTGTTCTGGAATGACTACATATTATAACAAGAAATCGCAAATGTTTAGCCAAAATAGCTTAAATCTCATATTATACATCTATATAATATATATTTTTTTATTTCATTGATCTTTCAGCCTTGCCTAAGTAACATTACAGAAGTTGTAATGATGTGGTGTACATGCAGTCCTGTTACCATATCCAATAGTATAAAACTGGCCTTTGTTTAGTTTTAGTGAACCAGTATTTTGTAAAATTGTTACATTTTGGTTATAATACATTACATATGCATATATATATAATTACTATTTACAAATAAGTTCTTAAATTTTAGTTATTTTTCTTAAAACATAGAACAGTAAATAAAGAAATAATTTTTTCTACTTACAAACTTTGTGTTCGTTTGCCTGCATGCTGTAATTTGCTAAGCCTTGTCAAGTTTTGTATGTGGAGAATATAAAATAATTTTTTTTTAGCTTTTATATATATGCATTTTGAAACAACCAAATACTATAAATTACTCTACCAATATTGCAGAATTCCGCTGTAATTCAGGCTTACTAACTAAACTGTATTTGAGTAAAAAAAAAAAAGTTTTTCAGACAACATTTTCACTTACCACTTCCTTCAGCGATTCAAAAAAAAGAAATAATCTTGAGCTTGACATTCTGAGCTTTCAGTTAGTTATTCACATATCATAAACAGAAGATGATGTATGTAAGCAAGTATTTCCATAAATTGAAAGAGGTGGGGGGGGGGGGGCACTGTGTATGATTCACTAAATGTAGTGATATCTCAGCAAATATAAAAGATAGGAGGTTCGTACTTTATATTCCAGCTTGTCAATATTGGTAATTGTAGCTTCTAATTCATAAGAAACTATAGACTTTGTACTTGGACATCACAAACATATAATTTGAACCAAAGCTGTATTCAGAATATCATGTGACATAAAATTGATATTCAGGAATTTTGTTTTAATATTTAGTTTTAAAGTAAGAAATTAAGTAATGTATAATACTGTGATACCAAACTTATTGGAATGCATTCATAAAATAGCAGATCAATAAAATTTTGAATGCAAGTCTACAAACATTATGACACACCCTTTGACCCCTGATCATAAGAAGACCCGCAGTGAGAGGGTTAATTCACAAGCATTGGCTAAAGACATGAAATTGAGATTTGTTTGTCTTCTAATTTGGTATTGTTTACTTTTATTTGTGAATATATATTTTTTCTACTTACACTGGTTTTATTTGATAATTCAGATAAAACTGGCACATGGCACAGGAACATCGTACTTGGTTATCTATGATATTCATCTTTGTATTGCTCTGAAGAGATTATGTATCTGAATATCTTGAAAGATAGAAAGTACTCATTATAACAGACGTGTTCCTGCCTTAAAGTTTACTAGATTTAAAAAATATAAACCTCTTTACCAGTCTCATTGGCATTGTTTGTTTTACATGCAGCATTTAGAAGATTTATCACTTTTAACAGGATCTGTCAAAAAAACAACCCAGCCAGATGCAGACACCACTAAAAGAAATAATACAGGCCCTGGCATCACTTCAGTACCTACTGTGACAGTGAACAGTGACACAACAGAACCAGGGCTCTGTCCAACACAAGTGCAGGGAAACAACATTGCAAATGGTGGTGAATGCCCCAAACAGCAACAGAAACCTACGAAAGGTGGAGTTACAACCAGTAATCACACAATACCTGGGCCTGGCCGACCTATTGTAAAAGGATCCACAGGTCAGGGTACAGCAGGTGACCATTTTGGTCGAGGAGGGGGCAGAACTGGTACTAATCCTCCTAAGTCTTTCTTCAGTTTGTCAAATTAGTATATATGTGTATAAAGCTGGGTGATACTACTGATTACCTATGATGTGAAATTACATTGATTAGTGTCATGTAAACTAATCAATTAATCAAAATATTACTATGTTTTGTTGTTAAGTAAAAAGCTACATAAATGGGCTAATTTTGAACTGCTGAATAGAGGGAAAGCAACTGTCTGGCAACACCCACTGCCAACCTTTGTAATTTTTGTTTTTCTTGAACTGCTGACTAGCAAAGAAGGCAGCTAACTTTCTGGCAGTACTTGCTGCCAATATTTTATATTTTTTTTGCTTGTTTTCTTGTACAGACCACAGTTTGAGGAACTTTGTATTAAGCGATTAATTTGAACATAATCGATTAATGGGTCCATCAGTTAACTCTCTCAACATGGGCTCAGTCGATTTGACCAACCACTGACCTCTTTGTACTTGTATACTCTTTATAGATTTCATACTACTAACTTTTAATATAGTATGTATATCTTCACAAAATTTGGCAGTTTTTTGGTAAACATAAGTCTTTCACATACAAAAAAAATCATTTTTTAGTGAAGTATTTTAAATACACTAAAAGATTTGTCCATGAATATATCAAGTATTTGTTTTGAATAGTCCATAGGCAAAGTGATTTTCATGTTAAGATTAAACATACTTTTCTTCATCTCAAAAATCTCTGATTTGATTTGTGTAATCTCTAAAATCTTCTAAATACATTTCAAATATTTGTTTTCAGTAAAACTTTATATTTTGTTATTTTCTCTACCCTAACTCCATACAAGGTTGGTCAATTTGACTGACCTCATAACCACCAAAAAAAAGAAAGAAAATAAATCTAAATTGCCCTTTTTTTCTTTCTAGAATGACTTCAAATTGTAATATGAAACTATATATTCATTTATCCTAAGTAGCTTTAAACTCATAACAGTATACATCTATTTATAATTAAGTTTTATTGTTTTATTGCCCTTTGAATCATGTCTAACTACTATTTGTGCCATTACAAGTAAATAACTTGAAGAAAGTGGAGCTCATGCTATGCTATTGAAATACATTACCCACAAGTTGCTAGCTTTCGTGCCTTGTGAAACATTTTTATATAAGTTATAACTATTTATTTTACCTAACCTAACCTTAACTAGCCTGGAGAGATCCCTATTTTTACATTTTAGGCACTTTTATAATAAATAAAGAATAAACAAGAAATAGAATACTTACCAGAGTACTTACTTAATGCAACAAAGAACAGAGAATAATAACATGCAATAGTAGACAATTTCCCCTAACTATCACAATTTTTCTGGCTATCTATGTGACAAAAACCGTTACAAAATCATCCAAGCTAGTCGTTATCTTACCCATTGGAACGAAGCTTGTACCAACAGTGAAATTGACAATTCTCCATTCAGAAAACAATGCTATGTAATACATTATTTGATAAATGAAAACCTTGGCTTTCTGTTTGTTATAGATAATATAGAATTAAACATAAGAGAGAACTATTAACAAATCCTGGAAGAGAGGATGTGACAGGTGGGTGTGGCAAGAGGAGTCTTATTTTCTATTTGATAACTCTGTAACCAAACAAAATTGAAGGCTGTAAAATTATGGTTTGTCTGAGCAATGATGATTTTATAGTGAGTAATTTACATTGAATTTCATACTTATTGGGAGGGGGGGATAAAATAAAAAGGAAAAGCCTAGAGAAAATGTCACACTAGGGGAAATTCAGGATTTTTTAAAATATTGCCTTATAAAACTAAGAACTTAAATTGTACATACTATTAAAATATGGATTATTAGCTAAGATTTTATGCTATACTAACTGGTATAACATAAACAAAAAAGTAGATTAATAAAATTTTGAATGTAAGTCACTAAAACCTCATGACATGCACAGTAAAGGATGCTTGTGGTGATCAGGTTAATTGTTAGCAAATACCAATAATTACCCAGCTCTATATGTATATGTATTTGTGTATACATATTTAATTATTTACGAATAAGATATTCAAATTAGAATCTAAACCAAAAGCATAGTTATTCTGTTACACATTTTCATTTGTCTTTATGTAGTAGCTCAAGAATCTGCAGCTAAACTGATTGAACAGCAATGCATACTTCAGCGACAACAAGCACAAGCATTTCTAGCTGTCCAGCGACAACTAAACACCTCTTTAATGCCTCCTACAACATTTGGAATGGGACCTACTGGATTGAATGCTAGTTTGGTGAGACCTGGAAGTTTTGGTCTTGGACCTAACTTGAATTTAATTTTGCTTCGTAATATTGTCCAGAATAGCTTGAACAACCCTAACAATCGAGGTATGGAAGTTCTTCCATTACTTTATCATATATGTACCATTAGTCTTCCCTCAGTGCTAGAAAGTGTGTAAAATTAGTATTTGACAATCTTCTTTAATGCTATGTGGAGGTGGAGGTTTGTCTGAGCAATGACTATTTTATAATGAGTAATTTATGTAGAATTTCATGCTTATTGTAAGTGAAAGTATGCATGTCGCATACCTTTTACAAAGTGACATTCAAAATTTAAACAACTTATTTCAATAAATTTCATATTATAATATACTTTATAATTCAAATTGTAATATTATAAGCTTTAATTTCTTAATATCAAAAGGAAATATTCAAATAAATTCTCAATCTTTACTTCTCTGTATCATGTGACACTTCTTTGCTTCAAATTGCCCATTTTAGATTTTCTTTCAACCCTAAGATGATTTTCCAAGTTTGACGCTAATTACACACTTATTATTTTGCTATGCCATCATATAAATTTATAGCCTCCAATCTCTTTGCTTTACTGAGATGTGTATAAAGAAGCTAAACCCACATGTCATGCTTCTCCTGCCACATCTTGTTTCAAAAAATGTCTAATTCTATTTGAAATTTCCTATTGATATTTATAACCAAAAGAAAGGGAAAACTGTACACTCCGTAAATTGTATGACTATATATTTTGATGAGACATAAATTTCAGTATGCCATCAGAACTCGATGGGTTTCGACAAAGATGTTGATATGAGAAATTTTTTTTTTAACCTTTTTGTAGATTGATTAGAAAGCCAAGTAAATTACAGTAATTTTTAGACAAATTTAATCTAGTGATGGATGTGTTTTTGGTTTTCTGAAATTTGTATTTGAAAGTCACATGAATTACTTTTTGGACAACCAACAGTTAGAAAAAATGTTTAGGAAAGCAAGAACTCAATTACAAACTGGTCTAGAGCTAATGCAAGTTAAGTTTCTTGTTTATGTATGTTTATTGTTATATATCTTTAATAAAAGTAACTAAAATTTGAAGAAAAAAATAATTATTACATAAAACTTAAATGAAACATTTTTCTGCTTCAAAAAATGCACAATGAACATACATGGTTAGATGTTACATGATGTAACCTGAAAATTTGTTTATTTTATATTCTCCACACCCCTACTGGGTGGTTTATTGCCTATCACAGTAGTTACAATTCAAAGAGCAATAAAACAATAAAGTTCAATGAAAGCAGTTGTGAAAAGGAAATAAAACTCAATATCTTAAGATAAATAGGTGTTATTGTCTATTATATGCAATTATTCTAAAATGTATTTTTTTGTTTTTTTTTCATATTTTTCAACTTTTATTGCTGCTAATTTTGCTACATTCAGTGTTAAGGTTGAGGAAATAAGATATGAAATATTTTACTGAAAAAAACTTTATTCTTCATTTAGGAGGTTCTAGAATTATTTAAATGAAATATGAAAACCTGAAGATGAAAAAGTTTATTCTTAACATGAAAATCACATAGCACTTAAGACTAGTCTGAGTCAGATTCAGTCAGTAAATTCACTGACAGATCTTTAGTAGAAATACTTTATTGAAAATTCTTGTTTTTTGTGTATAACATACTTGTAATGTGTATTAAAAGCTTATCAAATTTTATGAAGATACATTAGTAAATTTAAAATTATAGGAAACATTGTTATGTATAGATTCACAATAATGGGATGGTGCAATGCACCAATGCTGTTAACATAGGGGTAATTCCACAGAGTATTGTCTTAAGATCTTATTTTCTAGCAATGAAAGACATTTGTGTTTGTATGTAAAATAGCTCTTCAAAAATATATCCAAATTAATAAAAAATGAAAAATAACTCAGTCTTGATTGAACGTAACTCTGACTGATTTGGAAGATGTACAGAAAACTTAGGCCATTCTCATCTTAGTGAAATACCATAAAACTTGTTTTTTAGTGAGAGAAAATGGACAAAAAACCTAGGTACAAACGTATCAATAAGTTGTATATAATTATAAGGCTCTTTTTTTAACTGGTAGATCAAATAAATATTGTAAAATGATCGAGTATAGAGACTATCTTAATACTTAGAATATAAGGTATTTATTTGAGTACATACATTTCCTTTTGTCAGAAAAAAATCACGCATATTCTATTTTATTCAGATCTTGTAACTGTTTCTTCCAGGTCCATGGTCCTTGAACTACCTTGCCTATCTTTTGGCTCTCCAGCAACAAAGAGGACTAGATATCAGACAGTTGCAAGCCCTAGCACATGCTCGAGGAATACACCCACTGAGCTATCAGCAACTCCAACTTCTTCATTCTTGGAATCAAGCAGCAATGGTCAGTGGCACTCCTAACATGAACCCCATGTCAACTGGAGGTGGGTAGGTTTATGTTCTTTGTAATTCATCTTGTTGTCAAAAATTGTTAATTATACTACGTGAACTATTCCCATGCCTTGTCAGTGTGTGTAGTTCTCAGGTCTGTCTAAACTATACCCATGCCTTGTCAGTGTTTGTGTGAGTGTAGTGCTCAGGTCTATCTGAACTATCTGAACATATACAATGTTTCCAGCCTTGTTTGTTTACATTTTTGTGAACTTTGCATTTTGATTCAACTTGTTTCTCCACTTTTTTTGATGAGCCT